GTAAAGCACACTCAAGCGTAATGTGGGAAGCAGCACGTCCCATAAGTCGTACAACTGCAGTGTAAAATGTGATCCAGCATTGCGAGCATCAGTAAACAAAAAGTGCAGAACAGAAACGATGCAATTTAAAGAATTTCTTTCACACAATTACTTACAATGATAGTACTTTCCAGTTGACCTTGCATCAATCATGACATTTCCAATCATTTCAGAGTATATCTGCATAAGCATCAGAATGGTTTTAAGAGGTTTCACCATAGCAAAAAATTTGAGTAAATACGGAGGAAAGTTTAGACAAAATATTGATCAAAACGGATGATCACCTTGCAAGCTGTATCAAATCCAAAACTAGTAGGAACCTCTTTGCATTTCAAGTCACCATCAATGGTCTTGGGGCACCCAATGACTCGGGTTTTCAAGTTCTTACTCCTAGTCACACCAGTAAAAAAGCAAGTCAAATACTGAATCAGCAAAGTATTAAAGATTCCGTACACATAAATCTCCAAGACAAAGTTTCAACAACAAACATGAAATGATCTGATTGCCAGGTTTACCTGAAGTTTTCAGCAAGGAGGCAGGCATTGGTGTTGGAGTCATCTCCACCGATAACCACCAATCCATCCAAATCGAGCTTCTTTGCGGTTTCTTCAGCTTGTTTAAACTGCACACGTGAGCCTTTTATAGTTACCTACTGCATGACTGGAAGCAGGAATAAATCTTTTTAAAACTAGAAAACAATATCCAACCTGCTCAGGCGTTTCAATCTTGTCTCTTCCACTGCAGATCATGTCAAAACCACCCTATTGAGACAGAAAACACAAAGCACATTCAATCCAACCGAGAATTTTATGCTCCACCAGTTACAGATCATCACAGTGTAAATATTGATTTTAATACTTGAAATAAGTCGAAAAATGATGATGAACTTCTAAAATCTCAATCAATCACAAAGCCCGTGGAAAGGATTCATAAACTATACAGTACCTGGTTTCTGTAGGGCTGAATGTATTCTGCATTCAACTCGACATATTTGCATTTCATGATCCCAGCTGGACCACCCTTGAATCCGTAGAATGTGCTTCCTTTGGCACGCTCCTGCAAGTAATCTAAAGGCCGAGAAAGAAAAAATCACAAATCAATCAGCTAAAATGCTAAAGAAAGCACCATTTGACATAAGAACGAAACGCTTACCGAACAATCCAGAGATGACATTGTGGCCACCAGGTGCCTGACCTCCGGAGAGAACAACACCGATCTTCAATTTCGGTGCAGACGAAGATGCACTCTCATCTGGAACTACCGATACAGATGGCTGACCATATAGACCCGGAAACAACTTCGCAATCTCATCTGCAATCACATAAACCAAACGCTAAATCATTTGCAACTCTTACGAAGAGCATAAACCACAGATCTATACAATAAAACGAATTTGATATGGTTTCGTGAATCATTCAGGTCCTCGATTCCCTCACAAACAAGATCTATAGTTGTATCAGATCAAGCTAAAGCGATACACAATCATTAGATCAGAGCGAAATAAATAAATAAAAAGAACTCAATCCCAATCCCGAGGCGTCACCTGGATTTCCGGCGGCGGAGCTAGCAGGACCTTCGACGATTTTGAAAGCTCCTTTCAGCACAGAAGGCAAAGGAAGAGCGTTGTTGATTCGGCTAGACTGAACTTCGCTGTAGACTGAAGCACGTCCTTTGGCCGGAGCATTCTCCGGAGATCCGGCGACGAGATCTCGGTTAACGGCGAGAGATGGGGCCATTCCTTTGGTTTCACCTAACTCTTTGCGATGGTTTGTACGACGAACCTAACTTCCCTCCTTTTAATAAGCTTCAATGGAGTTCACTCTTCGAGGTCTCCGCTGCGGGGTTGGTGTGAATATATAGTATGACTCAAAGGGGCATCAAAGTCAATATTAATTGACTCATCCTACAAGGCAAAGGGTATTTTAGGTATATACGATGTATCGGCCCAATAATATTTAGTGGGCTGAACATTTTTACTTTCTAGGCCCTAAGATTCGACATCGAACAAAAGGCCTTATGCTTCTTGTCTCGTGTTTGTATAAAGATTTTTCTTTTGTCTTCAAATCCCCATTTTAATCCAATCCCAGTATTCAAGAGCTGTTATTTAATAATGTGAACTCATTTGTTAACATTTTTTGTTTCCTCGAGGGATGACTAATATTCATATAGAGAAAGTGTGTGACCTTATTAAGTTTGAGTTTGTGATTCTGTAAAACACAAAAGGGCTAAATTTCACAGTAGATGTTCCACATCATTCATGATTTATAACTCGGAAGACTTTTTCTACGTTTTCAATTTACAAATTTTCTTAGATTACTGGTACAGTGGCACGGCTGTTAAAATAAATCGCATATATCCATGCGTAGATGCACAAGCAAAAGAACGTACGGTACAATGTATTTGTTTAAGATGGAAGTATGAAATCCAAAGAAAGAAAACATCAGTAGCGTAAATCATAAGGAAAAGAAAAGGAGATATGTAAGTTTCTTTTCCTTTTTGGGGTAAAATAGATATGTTGGTTATAATATTAACACCATAAGTTATGATTACTATTTACTTTCACCAAAAAGTAAGACAAAACATTCAACAAGAAGAAGAAAACTCAAGTTAAAGCCATCACTCTTCACCTTAGCCGTAAAAGCAATTTTGTAACTCCTTTCTGTAACAGCACTTTATAAGTAACAAATATCAAACCATTAACAAACAGTAATAAAAAAATACAGCAAATGAACAAGATGAGACGATCTCACATCACGACTTTTGACTTTGTTGGTTAATTTCTTTCAAATCAAAGAAAATGAACTGTGAGATTTGTTTTAAGAATAAGAAGATCAAGAAGATTTTCATCGACTTTGTAATCTTTGCTGATTACTAACTTACGAGTCTCGACTTGGTAGGGAAAAATAACAACATCATGATTCTTGCTAAGATTCTATATGATTATGCTGCAAGTATTAATTTGATTCAAAATCATAAGGTAGTGAGTGAATGTATCCACCGCCCTTTCAACTTTTGGGGCTAAGATTAAGGAAAATTAGGTAGCAGTAGCCACCGACCAAAGTCTTGCTTCTGATTTTGTGTTGTTGGTGTATAATAAAAATATATCTAGTTAATTGGGACAAAGATAGATACTCGTCGTCCTTTATCAAAAAAAGAGAAGATTATATACTCGTCACGAATTATTATAACCTCAACTATCACAACTTGGAATTAATTAATAACATTTTATGTAGTTTTGTATTCATGAATCATGACAACTTCTGGTTGTGATACAACGTCAACCTTATTTGTATTTTTTTACTTCTAGTGAGTTTTTTTTTTTTTTTGACAAAGGGTATTCATATTAAAATTGCAGAAATTAAAAGGTACAGGGCTATGACAATTAAGTCATACAGTTATGAAAGTTAAAACAACATAGCAGAGAAGCATATATTTGAGACAAACATATGAGTAAAGATAGAAAATCCTAAGCTTGAAACTTAAGAAGAGGATGGGTTGGAGATGAGCCACATCAGCCACGTCCGCGTTTGGGAATATGAGTAAAGATAGAAAATACTTCTAGTGAGTTTGGGAATATTGTATGCTTTTCTTACCAAACATCTTATTAAAGTACTTGATTAAACTTTTTTTAAACTACGGCGAAATCTTATTTCCCTGTCGTGGAGGAATCCAAAGATAACTTATTGTAATTAGGTGGCCAAGCCAACCGATCTTCGAAGAAGCAACCTCATAAATGACAAAGTGTGTCAAATTAAAAGTGATTTAAGTTTTATCTATCTACTTTATTCCCAAAATGATAAAAAGTTGGTTATGAACTTAATTATGGTTAGTATTCCATGAATTAGAATGATAAACTGATTTTACTATTATGCAGTTTTATGTTTTTCGTTTACACAATTATTTATAACTACGTTTTATTTTATTTTTCATTCTCACAACCCTCATGACAAAAATATTTTCATCATTTTATTCTAATTAAGTCAAAATCTCAATTTTTCTACGAGAAAGAATTAATCGATCGACTATGCATGAAACTCGAACATGAAAAAGTTGGTAGTAAAGATAGCGCTTTCGAGCTTTTTCTTTTAAAATACAAAATATTCGTGATAAGAGTAGCTAAGCTAATGCTACCTTAGCAAAAGATACGATCGTTGCTTTTTTAACTCAATACGATCGGTGTTTATCTCTTGCCATGCAATATACATTTTTTTTTAAGTGACTAGACATGTTTTACAAAACAAAAGTTACTTGAAATGTAATTTTTATCAACGACTTTCTGTTTGACAAAATACGCAAAATTTTGTCAAGTAACAACTTTTTGTATTTTATATTTACTTGTTCGCATACTCATTCTCTGACCAGAGCGATTCAAATAAACTACTCACTCAGAACCTTAAACTATGATTTTTTTTTTATATTTACATCACTAACTAGATAACCAGTTTAATGTATTATTGTACTTCGAAATCGTGTATCACACATCCTCCCTAGCCCTTCTTTTGCGTATATAATGACACCGCAAAGCACCAGCTAAAGGTGTATTCGAGTGTTTCTCTTATTTGTTCAAACATCATAGCAATTATTCATATGAAAAAAGCAAAAGAAAAAACCAATAGAATTGCAAAACCAAATTTTATCCCATCCCAAAAGGAAGAGTAGGGTCCTACCAATTATGTTGCACTGCACTCATATACAACTTCCACAAATTCCATTTCTTTTCAAATTTAAAAAATAGACATATTTAGCAACTTTATCTGAATGGCACAATTATATTATCTCATGATGCTTGTCTATCGTTTTCGTATTATTCCATTTTATTTTTATATAGCAAGATCTTTTTACTATTTGCGCCTATATATAGCGACCCTCTCTCAATTTCTCAACTCACATTTGACAATTAACATCATCATAAGCATTAAGTTGCCAGTTAAAAAACAGAGAGTTTACTTAGAGTGAGAGAAATGGAGAAGAACATTAAGTTTCCAGTTATAGACTTGGCTAAGCTCAATGGTGAAGAGAGAGACCAGACCATGGCTTTGATCGACGACGCTTGCCAAAACTGGGGCTTCTTTGAGGTTCTTGTCTCTCTTTCTCTTGTTTTTCTCTTCCAAAAACTGATTTATCGAGATTATATGCTTGCTTGTTCGAACTTGTTTTGGTGTCTGAAATATAAGAATCTAAACGTTTGATTAAAAACAAAAATCAAATCACATATCCTTTCAAACTTTTTTTTTTAAAGTGGGTCACTATAATCCTTATGTTTTTGTAAATTTCAGCTGATAAATCATGGAATACCATATGATCTAATGGACAACATAGAGAGGATGACAAAGGAACACTACAAGAAGTCTATGGAACAAAAGTTCAAAGAAATGCTTCGTTCCAAAGGTATAGATACTCTTGACAGGGAAGTTGAAGATGTCGATTGGGAAAGCACTTTCTACGTCCATCACCTCCCTCAGTCTAATCTCTACGACATTCCTGACATGTCTGACGAATGCCGGTACACACACAAAAATATGATTCAACCTTTAAAAGTCTTGGAAAAATGGTCTTAGAAAAAAACCATTGATCGATTTGCTTTCTATGTCTCTTAACAGGACGGCGATGAAGGTATTTGGAAAGAAGCTGGAGAGTTTAGCAGAGGAGCTGTTGGATTTGATGTGTGAAAATCTAGGGTTAGAGAAAGGGTACTTGAAGAAGGTGTTTCGTGGGACAAAAGGTCCAACTTTTGCGACAAAGGTTAGCAACTATCCGCCGTGTCCTAAACCGGAGCTGATCAAAGGGCTTAGAGCTCACACTGATGCAGGAGGCCTCATATTGCTGTTTCAAGACGATAAAGTCAGTGGTCTTCAGCTTCTCAAAGATGGTGATTGGGTTGATGTTCCTCCTCTCAAGCACTCCATTGTCATCAACCTTGGCGACCAACTTGAGGTACAAATACAATTGTAATCCGGTTCTGGTATCTGATTGACCAAATTGGTTTAGGTTTAAACGGATTATCGTGTGTTTAGGTGATAACCAACGGGAAGTACAAGAGCATAATGCATCGTGTGTTGACGCAAGAAGAAGGAAACAGGATGTCTGTTGCGTCGTTCTACAACCCCGGAAATGATGCTGAGATCTCTCCGGCACCATCTCTGGGGGAGAAAGAGTCGGACTACCCGAGTTTTGTGTTTGACGACTACATGAAGCTCTATTCCGGAGTCAAGTTTCAGCCAAAGGAGCCACGTTTTGAGGCCATGAAGAACCCTGCAGCAGCCTCGGATTTGACTCCGGTGGCCACCGTCGAGACATTCTAAATGGAAGTGGAGATTTCTATGAAGGCAAAAAGATGAGAATACAACAAAATGGGTTTGGTAATGTGTGGTAATGTCATAAGTATCGGTGTTAATGTTATTATAATCAAGAACTAAGTGATTGGTTGTGATCACTGATGATGAATCTGGTGTGGTTAAGTGTTTTTATTTATTATGCAACTGTGGTCCTAACTAAAGTATAAGGATAATCTAAATAAACGGTTAATTTTATGATTTAACATTTTCAACTAGCAATGCTATGAAGATCAGAAAGATTGATCATTAGATAAGATCCAAAAAGTCACACAAAACAAAAGTAAATAAAGCTCACACATGATTAAAACAACTTGATTAGAAGAGAAAAAATCAACTAAAATCATCAAAAGGTTCCAGCTTTATCCAATGAGCGCCACTAGCAGAAACATACCTCCAAGGTTTGACCTTTTTCCAATTTGCAAGCCATTGTTGACCATGATGCTAGAATCGCTTGGTTTAGCTCCTCCGATCAAACCGGTTTCATTTGATAAAAGGGTTTCATGATTCAGTTACCTTCTTCTCATCTCCTTCAGCTGCAACAGCTGCTTCATTGGAACAATGGTTCTTCACAACAGTTGATATATCAGTCTCAGAAGCACCAGCAAGTTTGAATCTTTCAACAGCTGAGTCAAGATTCTTCTTCCAACCGCTTAAACTGATTTTGCATTCAACTTGTGATCTCTCAAACAGCATGTTCCCCCAGAAAAGATGAATCTGTGATCTCATAGCAAGCGCTTGCTCTGCTGCTTCAGCTGCTGTAACAGCTTCTGAAGCCTCCCCATTTTCTCCATCTCCTTGCTTCTTTCTCCTCTTAGAAACCTCCTCTTTCTTGCTCGAATTCGGGTTCTTCAGATCATTCATCCTCTGTTCTTCAAGCTTCTCCCACATCTCAGTCGCAGCCTTCATCTTCTCTTCCGCACTGTCAAAGAGCTTCAGCGTCTCTGCTGAATCCCACTCCGATAAATCTATCTTCTGCGCCAACGCGAATGACCAATGAAGCTTCGCCATCTCGAATTGCTGCTGCCCTAAAGCTAGCAAACCTTCGTAAAAGTCAGGTTTGATCGATAAGGCGTGCTCATACTGTTCCTTAGCAAGAGTGTACTTCTCTTTCACCCACTCGTAAGCAATCTGAAGCTGTCCCTCGACTTTCTCCTTCTCAGCTGACTCTTCCAACGGAATCCTCTTCCTCGCAGCGCACATGTGAACATTACCCCAGTTGAAGAAAGCTAACGCAGCTACTTCTTGGAACTTCGCAGCAGCTTTGTCAAAAAGTGGCTGAGCTTCTTCACTGGTGACTGTTTCTTCCAACGCCTCAGAGCAAAGCTCCATCCCAAGCTCATGCAAGTCGACATGAGCGTCAGGGTCAATGCCAACATGAGACCGGAATAGCTGAGCAAAGTCGAATAACCAGTCATCCATCTCCAGTTCCTTCATCTCAGGATCTTCAGAAGAACCTGGTTTCTCCTTATCAGACTTCTCATTGCTGATCTCTGCTTCGGATTCCGTTGGAGATGTTCGGGTTTCTTCTTCAACAGGCTTCTCTTCCTCCTCCTCTTCTTCTTCCTCGAGCAAAGGCGGCTCCTGCTCAGGACTCACATCAACAACATGCAGTCTCAACATCCCAACAGACTCAGATTTATCAGATTCAGGCTCTTTAGTCAGAAGAGCATCAGCGGCAGATTCCGCCAATCTTAGCTCCGTAGTGGAGGTTACAGTCACCAAATCTCCGTCATTGTCTTTATACTTTATCAAAACCGACTTCGAAGATGGGAAACGACTCCTCACAATCTCCCTCAACACCTTAAACCCACAATTCACCGGCATTTGACCCAACCGTATGTCATGGTCATAGACAAACTTCAATGGCCTCCATCGAATTCTCTTCTCTTGAGTCAGAACAGCCACAGACGAAGAAGACTGAGACTGATCAACCTTCGTCGTCCCTTTCGAAGAATCAATCAATGGCTTCAACACAATTTTCGGCATCTGAGCCTTGCTCTCAGGTCCATTTTCAGTGACCGCTCGTTCCACTTTACTACTGTTATTGCTAATAGGCAAGGTAAGAGACCCAACAGGCGAAGAAGAAGGAGAAGAAGTTGCTACCTTTTTGTGAACTGGACGAGAAGGCAAACAAGGACCGAGCCCATTCACCGGACCACCCAAAGCAGCCGAGGCACCAAGAGCCGCTGGGGAAGGTCTGCTCTGAGGACCTGAACCAGCCATCATCAACCGGCGCGACATCTCAGTGGCGTCCTTGTGATTCGGGTCGGTTCCTAGTAGCAAATTCACATCTTGCACAGCTAATTCGAACTTCCCTACAGCTTCAAGAGCTCGAGCTCTTCTAAGGAGTGCTCGAGTGAACCCAGGCTGGACCTTAAGCGCTATGGTACACTCGGAGATTACGCTCTCGTAGTCGATGGGTTTCATCTGCATCAAACACGCTGCTCGATTGCTGTGAAGCACAGCTCGATCTGGGTGGCTTTTGGGGATGAGCTTAACCGCGTTAGTGTAATGCTCAAGAGCGCCACTGAAATCCTTGGCTTGGAACTTTCTGTTGCCTTCTTCCTTGAGCTCGTGAGCACGTTTTAGGAATATGGAAGTATCCAAATCAACTCCGCCGTTAACAATTGGCTTCGCCGGAGCCGTGGTTTCAGAAGGATTGACCTGGTTCGAACCACCAGCTCCACCACCACCACCACCGCCACTCTTCTTCTTCCTCCCACCGGATTTCCCCATATCAAATCTCCCCAAAGTCAAATTGAAAACTAAACCAAAGTCTCAACTTTTCTCTGGAAAAATTCGAGATAGAGAGAGAAGGAAAAGCAACGGGACGGAAATTGAATCGAAAATGGAGGAAGCTCAATCGAGCTATTACTGGGGAAATAAAAGTGTTAACAGATAGAGGAAATTATCAAATTAGAAAACCCTAGAAAGACATCGTTCTTCTAACAGTACTAAGATCTCTTCTCAACCGTTGGATTCGCAGACCGGCGTTTACATTTCGCTCCCTGAGTCAAACCTTTCAGATGAGATAGAAGGTAACTTGATTTGGGCCAATTCGAGGATTTAGATAAGTTAGGCGCACTTATATTTCGGCCCAAACCAACAACTTTGTCTTCGATAGTTTCTAGGGCATCACTCTGTATCATCAACACTATAAATAACTTTCTGGAGATGAGATCAATTTCTATCGATTATTTGACGCCGGTGATAGTCGAAAATATTTAAAATCGTTTAGGTTTCAATCGTTAGGGTTTCTAAATTAATGTTTTTTTTTTAATCTACAAACCTCGTGATTCTTATAAGCGGGCAAGAGAGAGTCCGGTGTCTCTGAGTCCTTGTAGAATCAGAGAGGGAAATCGATCTGGCCAAGATATATCGTTTCAGTCGTCCTTTTTCTTGGTTGGCGATCTGATTGTTACTTGTCCACAATCGTTCGATCTTCAAAACTTTGTTTTTCGAATAAAAAAATTGTTAATTGGAGAATGCGTATGATGATTATCAAATTAATATTTCTTCACTTTGATCCGACTGGATAATTATTTGTCCCTGTGGAAGTTTATGATGTCTGACGCATTCACCTTTCTTTAAAACCTAATTTATGGTTACAAAATTTACTTGCGAGTTGTTCCCTTTAAGAATCGATGATATAACAAATTAATTGACCGGACATAACCTATGACAGTTGATTGGCTAAGTATTCGGACAAAACCCAAGAGAAGTAGAGAACAAATTGGCTTATGTATTCGGTAAAGCGGCTAATTTGGAAACTTAGAATATGATCAATAATTTAATGTTTGCAGGTTAATGAAAAGAATATTGACTGATGCACTAGTTGAGATTCCCAAGTGCAACATTGTTCGATTGAAAGAAAAAAATCGATTTAGTTTTAAATTTGAATTAGAATTGTAGACAAATTTGAAGTGGACAAAGAGAATTGTACAACGCAGTGAAACCATAAAAAGCCGGATGAAAAGACGAAATTAAACAAAGCTTTTGAATAAATTGTTTATGGACCTTGGTGTTTATCTTATGAATAATAACTGTTATGTGTTAAAATTGGAAAGGCCCAATTAAAACCAGAGTTAATCCCTTTTTCATAAACGGCCCATCTAGTTTTGTATATTGAATAATATCTGTCAACTTCCAGTTAATAACTGTTTAATCTTGGACAAATCTCTCATAAACATTTGAACAGCGATAACTTTTGAAAAACAGGATTACTCAATTGTTAGACACTTACCCCACTATGGTGTTGTTATAAGTTATAAGTCGAACACTTCAAGTTGTTTGGGACCCCCAAAAAAAGAAGTGTTGATACATTTAAAGAAAGGTTTGGTTGATGAAGATGAAAATGAAAATAAAAAGTATGAATGAATCCGATAAAAGATTATCTTAGAGACTGTAATTACTATGTTAATGATATACCGTAAACAATACTTGCTTTTGTGGCTTATTACTATAACTTTTCCGCAAAGTTTAATCAAAAATCAAAATAATGTGGCCAGCAGCAGTAGCACACAAAACGAGTCAAAGACGTCGCGTTGACGTATTTAGTCCAAACTATTGAAATTATAAACCTCTCAAACACGCCTCCTCAGACGCTATGACTGATGACATCTTTTCCTCTGACATTATTATTTCTATGTAAAAGTACACGAACATGAATATGACTGATGTCTGATGACATATTTTACTCTGACACTGTAAAAAGAAGGAGCAAATTCTTGAATAATAATATACGTCATGTCAATAGTTTTATTTTTTGCAACATGATAATAGTTTGATAGCAAAACTTATTTAACAGTCTAGTTACTGTTAGATAGTCATTACAGTTTGGATAGCCTGGCTGGACTCCAGTTATTATTTCAAAAGACAAGTATCCTCTCGAAGTCTCGATACATAGCTAGTTTCTTTCCTCTTCTTTTCTCCTTTTTTGTCAACCAGACTCGAATCGTAGTCGTAGTTAGTCTTTAAACTATTATTAGAACTGATCAGTTCAAACAAAAATACTTTTTCCTGCGCTGAGATATGTGCAAGTAAAAAGTGTTACACCGAGACCAGAGCCCTACTGTCTCCACTTTCCCTATTTGTTTGTTAAAACCGATGTTCGAATATCCGCATTTCTAGGATTTAGTTCCCTCGTTTTGTCTGAAAGATAACTGAGATAAGTATTTAATTATATCTTGGTTACAAACAATAACCCCCGAGAGACCAGAATATATGATGATCAGATCACTTTTGATTACTTTAGGCTTTAGGTAGTTTAAGCTTTTGCATTAGATTTTTCTCTGGCAGGTAAATTTAAACATGTAATTGTACGTGTAAATGCTCTGGAGATGATATCCTGCAACAACGCCATTGCACGTTTTGATATCTCGCACAGTTTTATTATCCAAGTTGCATTACGTTTAGAGAATAAATTAATGTGCCAAAAAATTGCTTTGGATAGTATTATACACACATGCGTGATGCGTCAGATATTACCAGTCCGAAGAAATAAACTATTGGACTATGATAAGAAGTGAGAAAGTAAACCCATGCTTCAAAATGTGAGAAGTAGAGAAGTCTAACGCAACTCGATTGACATGTATTGTTTGTATCTAAGAATAGTTCTAAAATGATTATTAATTTGATATTCCAGTATCAACTGAGGAATCGAAGTTTATAGTTTATAGACTTTATGCTTTGACGAGCGGATCAGATTGAGTGACCCGTAAAGAGCAAAAATGCGCAGACAAATAATGTGACAACAACAATTCATGCGAGGCATAAAAATGGCTGTGGTGGTAGGCAGCACAAAAGATATCGTTGGACCGGCAATAATATTATATACAAATCAATATTCTTGTAAAAGCATCTATCAAAGTATCCTAGAAGTATTCAGTTACATGTCTGTCTACTTCTTATTGTTCTCTCAGTAATATAGTATTTAATTTAATCTTGACGGTAAGAATATTATAAGAAGCTGTGCAAGTTTGAACCATTTTTATGTAACTCGGTACTCTGTGGTCACACTTGATGTCTTATGTGTATACAGTTAAACGTATTAAATACGTACGATTATACTAATTTCTTTTAATATAATCAAGATATTATAATACAATGACATTTTGTCGCATTATGGTACCATTAATGCTTACACATGAAAACTTTTGAGTAATCAAAACATTTTTGCCAAGAAAGATCCAAGGTGAATAAACATAACATTTCTAGCTTTTTATTTCTTGTTAATATTCTTATCCCCAAACACCAAAAACTTTCTCACCAATGAAATTCACAAATCTCCTTACGGATCCCTTCTCCTCCTCCTCCACCGCCTCCGCCTCTTCACAACCGTCGCCAGCACGGATTTCCGCCGCCAACTCTAAACCGCTTTTGCAACTACCACCATCACCCAACTCGCTCGAACTAGAGCACGGACACGGACTCGCAATTGAGTCAACGAGTCGACTCGGAATCTCCGAATCATCCTTGCCAAAGCTAGAAGTAGCGAGAGCTGAAGATTTCCCAGAACGCTTTCTTCGGTCTTTCTTTCCACTCATGTTCTTCTTCTTCGTTTGCTTCTTCTTCTCCAAGCTGTCTTCGAAAGCGTCGATGATTTCATGAATCAGCTGTCGACTCGGTGACGAGTCCCATCTGACCCAGTAACTCGTGTAGCAGCTGAAGCAGTCACAGTGGAAGAGAGGAGAGTGATTGCCAAAATGGGATTTTTTGTGGGCTTTGGTTTTATTCAGGCGAGAGGTAGGGTTTCGGTCGCCGGAGTAAGAGGCGGTTGATATGAGGTAAGCAAGAACTTCACGGTCTTCCGGCGAGAGAACTGCCGCAAGCGAGAAGATGGCGACAGGAAGAATAGGGAAAAGGTGGTCGTCGGATTTTATCTGCGGCGACGGGTGTACGGTTCCTTTACGGTATAGCTTCTTCATAGCTTCGTATGGAAGAGAGAGACAGAGAGAGACTTTGTTAAATAGGATGTTTTTTTATCCGACTCTTAAAGACGATGAAGTCATTGAGACTTTAAATACCGAAAGGTTGATTAGGTTTTTGTATGTTTCAGTCCTTTTTGTTATTCTTCTTTTATTTATTTAGTTTTTTGTAGTGTATATGAAATTAGCCTAAAACACGACTACTCTAGATAAAACTCACTATTATGGTCTTGTTTAAAGTTAAAATGTTGTGTGAATACACATTTTTCTTCTTCTAAAACCGGGAAAATGACAACATTTAACAAAATTTCAATTAATTATCACTCTTTCAGTTTTGTTTTAATTGTCGTTTTGCACTTAATTTTTTTGGTTTTTTTAGTGGTTGTTTTCATTTTCCAATGTAATATTGTCGTATTAAGTTTCATTTTCTGTTCCTTTTTAGTTGTCGTTTTCATTTTTCCATGTAATTTTTAATACTAAATATTTAATTTAACTTCAAATCTAACTAAGCAAAAAGAAACGGACGGAGTATTTGTTTATAAATTGTTTCTGTTTAATTTACTACCTTCCAAAAATTGTTTGACTTTGAACATTTTTTGTTTTTGAGTATACACTCTACTTCAATTTTTTTCTTTCTGTCAACCACTCTAGTTTAATGAAAGTTGTTTAATTCAAACTTATGAAAATGCTTGATAATTTGGTATTTTGGTTGACGAAAAATGCTTTGATAGTTTGTTGTTGCACGATGTCGTTGCTTGTTAAGATTGCTACGCATATTTGTTTATATAAAAGCGTAAACTAACTATTTAAGGTTCGAATGTTAATGTACAACTGGTGCTTGCAGTCCTTCACTACAGTTAGTGCGGTGCGGTGTACTGTAAATATTAAAATGTGTTAAGTTGGGATGACTGAAACTGATAAGTGATAACACAAGTTTTTTGAAAATATTTACTCATCAATCGGAAGTAGTTTTCTGGTACGAGATAGTGATTATGAAAGTTCATAGAGCCGGGCCAGAAATTTAACGGGCCGAAACTGAAAACGCCCAATCACAAATGTTGCATCAAACCAAAATATTTTAGACCATTACATTACATGATACAAGTTGCTAGCCAATCAACAACTTTATAGATAGTTGGTTCTATAACCCCTCAAACTTATCTATATTTACAAAATTATTAAAACAAAATCTCAAGTATGTGACTCATACAAACCTATACTTGACTCTGTGACTATTACAAGTTTACAACCCCATACCACTACCATTGAAAGCCACCGTAAGCCGGCCAATCTTTAAACCGGTCCTCTTCCTACTCTCCTCCTCTTTCAAACCTTGAAACGCCTTCGTTTTAACCAATTCCTCAAACCCCACACGAGGTCCACAGTCACAGCTCTTAACCTTAGTCACCACTTCGTTAGAGGTTCGTTTATAGTGACCGAACCACTTGGCTTGCATATAACCGTTCCTCCTCCACGGTGGCACGTGAATCTCCGCTCGTTTCATCGACCGTCTTATCTCGAAGCACATGATTCTCACCAGCCGTTTCAGATCCTCAGGTGTTCCAACAAAGACACGTGGCAGTTGAGCTAAGAGAGAAACGTATCTTGTCGTAGGCCGAGCAATCTCGAACTCTCCGGGAAGATTTGTCTCGACGATAAAACGTTTCTTGTTATCTCCTCCCTTAACGTCCACGTACTCGTACTTCCCGGCCGTGTTCTTTCCAAATTTTGCCCACCGGGACTTGCAAAGACCTATGTAATACGCATCTTTTCATTTTAGTATACACACATTTGAATCACAACAAGATACACATTTGAATCATAATTCACAACAAGCGGTATTAGGTATGGTATTAAACATACAGATCCAGAAACTTTAAAATATTAAAATAATAGGATCCAGAATAGTCTTTTTTTCCGGTTAAACTGATCCAACCTACTCACAACTTAGTTAGAGATAATGCTAGTATGCATGGGTTCATCTTTTCATTTCAGTAGTTGCGCATTTAAATGCCCAATATCCATTATGGTAGTATATTAATACCTAGTATTTCAAAACTTTTCAATGATGCAACTTCACGAGATCCAACCTAGTATTAATTGTTCTTAAAACAGTCTTATAATGATAAATGATAGATCGATATGCTACGAAGTTCATCGATACCTCACTCAGATTCAAAATACTATAGAGACCACTCGTAACAACATTCATATTCCTATCATAACGCTAAGTGATCTACATGTTACGTACGGTATGCTATATGTATATAGCTTAATTATTTGTTTGCAGCAGATAAACCTTTGTCAAACAAAAAAAAATATCAACTGACCAAAGTTATGCAATTAGAAAAAAGAGCATAACGTTTAGAAGTCGAGACAACAAATTATCTCTAAAACCGAATTAGAGCTACATATTTAAAATTTTGTTGAACAAACCTAACCAATATCTCTCATAATGAAACTATACGCACAAACTAATGTAATTTGGTATAAACACAGATTAATAGAGAGCATTAATTATTATTACCTGCATCAAAACCTTTGTTACGCAGAAGAGACATCAAGTGGCGTCTATCTCCGACGAACCCAACAGCATTTACGACCTCATCCATTATTCTCCGCCTCTCTTCTTCGCCGCTTCCGTGATTTACAATAATCTCCCGTAACCTCTCCGTCACATCTTCGTAATCATCATCATCATCCTCACTGTCCGATTTATCATCGTTCTCTTCCTCAGCAACCTCCTCGGGTAAATAATTTGTCACTTCTCTGTCGATAAAAGATTCGACCAGATCCCAAAGATCTGCTGTATCCTCCGGAGAGTGATCGCTTCCACTGCTGCTATCGCAAGGCGGACGCAAACGCGCCGCTGCCACGTCAAAAGCCGCCGCTGTTCTGTCAAATCTTCCCGGAATCTCTACCATTTTGTGACCTTTTCTTAGTTTCTATTATTATTTTCGCAGAATTGTGGTCTATTTATACACGAATATTTTTAGTGATGTTTCCATGGTGTTGACAGAGACTTTGACTTTTTGACGGAGTAAACGACAGAATGGTAAAATATGACAACAGAGTGGTGAAATGATGGTGAAAAAGGAATTAACGGCGTTCTGTGTAACGGAAAAACTCTAAATCCGTTTACAAATTTTTTTTGAGAGAGAGTTCGTTTACATAAGTTACAGTCTTGGGATTTGCTGGCGGATTAGTTTTTAGATTCTCAATTGTTACCGCTATAGCGTCCACATACATTGGCTTCAAAACGAATAACTTTTGTTTCAAAATAATTTTTGTTTGGTCAATTCAAATCAAAATAATTATAGCTTTATTGTAAGTCTATTAATAGTTCTAGTGAATTGTTCTAGTTTTGGGAAAAGAGAGGCATTGTTATAAATACTTCAATTCCTCTCAGCAAAATAAAAGAATTCTTCTCTTTTTCACTAAATTAACTTACTTAGTTACATGTACAGATTCAGGTCTAGAATAATTTCTTTAAGATTCTATTTGTTGCAGACCAAAACAATTACTACATTATGAAGTAGCCGCCTATAGTTTTTCACCTTTTTTTTTACTTAACCAACAACCTGGAGTAAAAAAAGTCAGTTCACGGCTACAATATGATTTCCACGTGTCAGATTGTGGTTTGACCATCCATCGTGTACTTGTTTCACTTCGGTAGATTTGTTCACTTGATTTTCTGATATCTATTTCTGACGCGGAAAACAGAAGTAGAGTAAACTCAAAACACGTCTGGATTCAGTGAATCTTAAAATCTGACTAGGTTCAATGTATCTAAATGTTCTCTTTGTTCATTTGTTTTTTCCTTTCCAAATTTCAAGCTGGTCATGCAATTAGTAGTTGAATTTATTATATTGTCACCGGTATGGCTTATCGCTTTGATGCGGATATAGGCTTATCCATTACACGTGATTTTGGCACTAGTCTGATTTATTCTTACAAAATATCCAAAATGATCAAATACATTGAAGAAAACGTTTTCGTAGGCCTAATACTGATAAGTACCAATTTGGGCCGATATTCAAAGCCCAAATTAATCCGAAAGTTTTAAAATGTACGGGGAATTTCAGCGGCCGGCTAAAAACCAGACCCGGCGAAGATAAAAATACGGTGGAGTTTTCTTCTCCGGGAGTCACAACACGGCGAAGAAATACCAACCGGTAAAAAAAACTCCACCGTATTTTTATATTCCTTATCTCCGCCAAGTCACGGTGTCTCTGTTATCGGCGACGTCTCCAGTACGCGGGATGTCCGATTCTGCTCCCTGAATTTCCGGTGGATTCCTTTAGATCGGACATTTTCCCTTTTGGTTAGGACGTCCTAAGCGAATATCGAGTACGTTTCATGATTATATTCCTGCTAGCTTCGTGCTTCCACACTGTGAGCAATAATCATAAATGGAACTGGTGATTGGTTCTAAATGTAGTGCCACAAGTCAAAATTATCTTCCTTCGTAGAATTCTAAATCCTGTATTGCTCTGTTTAACTGATAATCGCTGAATTGTTCTTGACTATGGGTAGTTTAAGTTATTTCCATCGACAGTGGCTGGATTTTATGCAGATTCTGAGTTTTTAATACAACGATCAATTTGATTGTATTTTATCTATTATGACATGAATGCTTGTCCATTCACTTCTAAGGTTGCTCTCTTTATCATCATTTGCTTTGGTTTCATCTTTACCTTGATGAAGCTTTGTTGAGTTTATAAAATGTTGGATGTTATAGTCTTATTATAGCTATGGATATTCAGAGGGACATTGAGAGTTTCGGCAGATAATTAATGTAGTTTGCCTTTTTTTATTTCAATCCTTTGAATTAGAAGAGAGTATTTGATATACTCCTCCAACTCCATATGCTTTAAAATTGGGATTTTGTTCTGTCTGCGTTCGATAATTAACATTGGACATTGTTTATCTGTGTAATAGGGACACATGCATCGCCTTGGATCAATCTCCAGAGCAGGCAGATATTTGAACATGGAAAACCTTAACGTGACACCTCATCTTATGACGAATATACAACATTTTGATCTTCTTTAAACTTAGTTTTGGAAGACTTGACAACTTATGAGCAACTCTTAGTCATAGACTTGAAAGATTTAAGGAATGATGATATATACACGTATTCCGACAGACATGCGTCCAAGTTTTGTTCCCATTTGGTCGTGCGTGCAGGTTTGTTTTCCTTTGACCGCTTCTGTTCCATAGATCGTGCACTACAATCATTTTGAGTTATAAACATATATTTATCTCTACATATTACATTATTAAAACGTTGACGGCTGATTATTTTATTCTGTACACACCAGAGAATCTCTAGGAACGTGCGTCCAAGTCTGAGAAAAATCAGTGACGATGGTTTTATCTCCCCGCAAAGGTCAGCTCTTATGGTTTTGGTCTCCTCTACGTTTCCCTCAACGTGTAAACATGTCACCAATTGGAAAGTTCAGTAAAAAAAAAAGGCAAAATTAGAGAGAGAGAAAGAAAGAGATACGACTTTGGAGTTTCTAAACTGTTTTATAAAGATGGAGCACATAGAGATATTAGATGTTCATAATTAGTAAAAGTGGGTTTCTTGACCCATAAGAAATGTTGTTCCCTCTTCGTCTCTTCTTCTTCCTCTTGCTCTCTTCCGTTTGTTTCTTGCAGATCAAAGCAACTGCCGATGATTTGGGCGAACACATCAAAGTAGACCCGAAACTCAAGTTCGAGAATCCAAGTCTACGCGACGCCTACATTGCTCTCCAATCATGGAAACAAGCAATCTTCTCTGACCCTTTCAACTTCACAGCCAACTGGAACGGCTCTGATGTTTGCTCCTACAATGGAATCTACTGCGCTCCTTCTCCTGACTCATACCCTAAAACCCGAGTCGTTGCAGGCGTTGACCTCAACCACGCCGACATGGCTGGTTACTTGCCTGCCGAGCTTGGTCTCCTCTGTGATCTCGCTCTTTTCCACCTTAACTCAAACCGTTTCTGCGGTGAAGTCCCTCTCACGTTCAACCGCATGAAGCTTCTCCACGAGCTTGACCTTAGCAACAACCGATTCGTCGGCAAGTTCCCAAAGGTTGTCCTCTCTCTTCCTTCCCTCAAGTTCTTGGATCTCCGGTTCAACGAGTTCGAAGGCAAGATCCCGGCAAAGCTCTTCGACAGAGAGCTCGACGCTATATTCTTGAACCATAATCGGTTCCGGTTTGGCATCCCAGAGAACATGGGGAATTCTCCGGTTTCCGCTCTGGTTCTTGCAGACAACGATCTCGGAGGATGCATACCGGGAAGTATCGGTCAAATGGGGAAAACACTCAACGAGCTTATCCTCTCCAACGACAACTTAACCGGTTGTTTGCCTCCTCAGATCGGTAACCTCAAGAAAGTGACGGTTTTCGACATCAGCTCTAACGGTCTACGTGGTCTGTTACCGTCCACCGTCGGCAACATGAAGAGCTTAGAAGAGCTCCACGTGGCGAACAATGGCTTCGCAGGAGTCATTCCTCCAAGTATCTGCCAGCTTCCTAACCTTGAGAACTTCACTTACTCTTCCAACTTCTTCACCGGTCGTGCTCCGATATGCGCAGCTCTTTCGTTAACCGACGCCTTGGTCAACGGTTCCATGAATTGTATCACCGGTTTGGCACGTCAAAGATCGGCTAAAGAGTGTTTGTCTCTGCTCGCACGTCCTGTTGATTGCAGCAAGTTTGGATGTAACAACATCTTCTCTCCACCACCGCCACCGACGTTCAAGATGGCACCAGCCGTCCGGAGACTTCCTCCACCAGTTTACGTTTACAGTTCTCCTCCACCACCGTCGTCTAAGATGTCGCCTACGTTCAGAGCATACTCTCCTCCACCACCACCGTCGTCTAAGATGTCCCCTACCGTTAGAGCATACTCTCCGCCGCCACCTCCATCTTCCAAAATGTCCCCTACCGTTCGAGCTTACCCTCCACCACCACCACCATCACCATCTCCTCCACCACCTTACGTATACTCTTCTCCTCCACCTCCGCCTTACGTTTACTCATCTCCTCCTCCTCCTCCGCCTTACGTATACTCATCTCCTCCACCTCCACCTTACGTATACTCATCTCCACCTCCCCCTCCTCCAAGTCCACCACCGCCATGTCCTGAATCATCTCCACCACCTCCTGTTGTATACTACGCACCGGTGACTCAAAGTCCACCACCACCATCACCGGTATACTACGCACCGGAAACACAAAGCCCTCCACCACCATCACCGGTATACTATCCACCGGTTACACAAAGCCCTCCACCACCACCTCCTGTTGTATACTACGCACCTGTGACACAAAGCCCGCCACCACCATCACCGGTATACTATTCACCGGAAACACAAAGTCCTCCACCACCGACTGAGTACTACTATGCACCGGTGACAAACAGTCCACCACCACCATCACCTGTATACTATCCATCAGAAACACCAAGTCCACCACCACCAACACCGGTTTACTATCCATCGGTAACACCAAGTCCACCACCACCAACACCGGTATACTATCCATGGGAGACACCAAGTCCTCCACCACCATCACCGGTTTACTATCCATCGGTAACACCAAGTCCTCCACCACCGACTGAGTACTATTATTCACCAAGCCAGTCTCCGCCGCCAGCAAAGGATTGTAAAGACGGCCATCCTCCACAAGCATCACCGAGTTACGAACCAAGTCCTGAATATTCATACTCATCATCACCACCACCGTCTTCTCCTCCTCCTCAGCCTTACTACTAGTTTCACACCATTGAGAAAAAAATGCATGCATTTGCCTTATGATTAACGACTACTCACAATTACATTCTTTTGGCTGCGAGTCTTTAATTTGTGTGTTTGGTTGATTCAAGAAAGTTATTTTTCTTTCTATATCTTTTTTTCTTTTGGATATTTTGCTCTTTTTTAATTATTTTTTGCCCCTAACACTACGCTGCATTAGCAGCAATGGAGTATATAGTTTCAGTTTATCTGTTATATGTATTTTCTCGTTACTAAAATTTTCTGTATAAAAAATAACAATAAATCTACACTCCTTTCAGATGTAAAAGAAAAAAAAACACTCATCTCAGAAAATTCAAATTAAAATTGAATTAATTATTTCCTAATTAGAAATATGACGTCAACTTCTCAGTCATCATCCCAAGAACGGCAGCTTGAAGAAATCTATCTATACCTACCACACTTCGAAATAACTGTCCTCTCCCTCTCTCTCTTTGTACTGGAATTTGTGTTCGCTTGGGAAACTTCGCTGGAGAGTCATACGTCGTCGTTTTTCTAGTCTCTTTATCGTTCCATGGCGTTGCTGAAGTCCTTCGTTGATGTTGGCCCAGATTCACACTTCCCTATCCAGAACCTCCCTTATGGTGTCTTCAAGCCGGAATCGAACTCGACGCCACGTCCTGGCGTCGCTATCGGCGATTCCGTGCTGGACCTCTCAGCCATCTCCGAAGCTGGGCTTTTCGATGGTCCGATCCTCAAGAACGCCGATTGCTTCCTTCAGGTTCGTTTTTTCGATTCCCATTAACTCGGATTGCTATGTATTGCTCTGTAAACTTAGCCATGAATAAATTTTCAAATATGGTATTTGAATCTGATCTTCCTCTGAAGTTTGCTCCTTGATTAAGTATGATTGCTGCAAAAACGATCCTCCTTATTGATTATTTACTGAGTAAATCAATCCAGTTTAGCTTGAATACTTTAGTTATCAACTTATCATATTCAACTGCTCCTTGATTCAATTAATTATCTGGTTCAAATTTAGCTGATAATGTTTTAGCTTCTGTGCTCTGTTTACAGCCTAATCTGAATAAGTTGTTGGCAATGGGACGGCCTGCATGGAAGGAAGCGCGTGCTACGCTTCAGAGACTCTTGTCATGTATGCTTGGTTTTGATCCTATGGATTCATTTGGATTATGCTGAGTTTCGTTATTTGAATTCAAGGTTTTTGGTTTTGGTATATGTTTGATGCAGCTAGTGAACCTACTCTACGAGACAATGATGTTTTGAGAAAAAAGGCGTTCTATGATATGGTTAGTACTTAGTAGTAGTGTGAAAATGTTGAGTTCCTGAAACCGGAGAGAGATATTTTACTAATGTTCGTCGTTGTTTGGTGCTGATCTGCTGCAGAGTAAAGTGGAAATGGTGGTTCCTATGGTGATTGGGGACTATACAGACTTCTTTGCATCAATGCATCACGCCAAGAACTGCGGGATTATCTTCCGTGGGCCTCAGACTCCGATGAATCCCAATTGGTGCGTCTGATGTTACTTTTGAGCTGAGAGTTTCTTTGTGAAGTTGTCAAGTTGAAAGATGAATCTGCAAATTTTACATGAGATTACCATGTTTTTCAGGTTCCGTCTTCCCATTGCATATCATGGACGTGCATCATCTATTGTCATTTCAGGGACAGACATTATTCGACCAAGGTGACAAGTTTGTTTTTATTATTTACTGAAAATGGTTGTTAAGAATTCACATGTCATATTTGAAGTCATGCATCATGCAAGGTTTTAATGCTTTGGCAAATTAATAATGAAATGCTAATTCCAGTTTTATCATTGCTTGATTTGCTTTCTCCCAGAGGTCAGGGCCACCCACAAGGAGACTCTGCACCATATTTTGGACCTACGCAGAAACTTGATTTTGAGCTTGAAATGGTAAGCATCCGATGCCTCTGTTATGTGAATTTGTTTTGGAATGATTCGGTTGATGTTATTTGGTATTAATTTAAGCAAAACACCATTGACAACTACCTCTCTTTTGCCATGTGATATATTCAGGCTGCTGTGGTTGGTCCAGGAAATGAATTGGGAAAGCCTATTGACGTGAATAATGCAGCTGATCATATATTTGGTCTTGTGCTGTTGAATGACTGGAGTGGTACTCACTTAACTATATTTTTCTTTGAGTCATCTTTAGCCTGACCATGCGTGATCGGTTTTATGAATTTGTTTGTTGTTACAGCTAGGGATATTCAGGCGTGGGAGTACGTGCCTCTTGGACCTTTCCTTGGAAAGAGTTTTGGTAAGGAAGTAGTATTCAAGTTTAATATCTTTGGCTTCAAAACTTCGGTTTCATCGTATTTGAGCTAAGAACTTTAGTGAAATGTTGTTTTGGGTTCTAGGAACTACGGTATCTCCTTGGATTGTTACCTTAGATGCACTTGAACCTTTTGGTTGTCAAGCTCCCAAGCAGGTTGGGAGTTAGATTTATATTATGTTTGTGTCACATAATCATTGATTCGCTAACTTAAGATAGTTGCAGGATCCACCTCCATTGCCATATCTGGCTGAGAAAGTGTCTGTTAATTACGACATCTCCTTGGAGGTAGCATTTTACATTACCCGTGGAGTAATTTGTTTCGCTTTCAGCTGCAACTTATAGGTGGACTGAATCAGAACATTGATGTGTTTTTCTCGTCTTATAGGTTCAACTTAAACCTTCTGGCAAAGATGATTCTTGTGTGATAACAAAGAGCAACTTCCAACACCTGTAAGTTCATAAATCTTTACCCCAATTTCTCCATATATAATTAACCAGTTTGGTTACAACACTTCTAAACTTATTGTGACAGATATTGGACCATAACGCAGCAGCTAGCACACCATACCGTTAACGGTTGTAACTTGAGGCCTGGTGATCTCCTTGGAACCGGAACCATAAGCGGACCGGTAAACTCTTTTTCTAAACCGCTTCTCTCGTCTGCTTAACCATGTGATGGTTAGAAAAAGATAAACACGAATGATTTTTGTATATTGATTGAAAACGCAGGAGCCAGATTCATATGGGTGCCTACTTGAGCTAACTTGGAATGGACAGAAGCCTTTATCAGTGAACGGAACAACTCAGACGTTTCTTCAAGACGGAGACCAAGTGACCTTCTCAGGTTTATGCAAGGTAAAGGATCTTGATCTTGTATCAGCTAATAAACAGAGTGTCTCTGCTTTGGTTTATGTCATTTCTTTTCTCAACAATTCCAAATGATTATGAATTTGTTGTATGATACGGTTAATGATTCTTAAACTGGTGTTAGGGAGATGGTTACAATGTCGGGTTTGGAACATGCACAGGGAAAATTGTACCTTCACTCCCTTGATGATGAGCTCTCGCAGGTAATTTACCTTCTTTTTTTTATCACATTTTAAAATTCCTTCTCTGTGATATAACCTTGACAATATGTTAGAGAAAATATGACAATTAAGACTTTCACTTACTAACTTTTATTTGCAGGAAAAATGGTGACTAAAAAAGATCTCGCTGATGACGATAACGCACTTGTGGGTATGGTCGTATGGATATGATTAAGTAGATAACCCCAATCAATTTAATAATAAGTCGTCATCTCGATATTGGTGTAGTACTGTATGATAATTATTGAATCTTTTATAAAGAAGACAACGGAATTAAAATAACTTTTTACATAAAAATCGACTACCATCGAGTGAGAATGGGTCCTTTGGTTAACGGTCGGTCGCTTCGATATTAAACCAACATTTCACGAGTCATATGAGTGAGTGTCAATAACCATCACCGACAGCAAAATTATCTTCCCTATCAGGAAAAAAAAAATATGAAAAGTGCAAGAAAATTCTCATCATCGTCGACAACAACCACCGTTATCCACACTTTCTATAATGACCATACTGCCCCTCCAGCCACCAAAGAAATCCCGATTGAAGTCCCATCTCCGGCGGCAAAACCCACCGTTCAGGCTAACGCCGACGCCACAGCCGCAGCGCGGATCCAGTCTGGCTACCGTTCATTAAGGATCCGAGGCCTCTACAAGACAATCTTATCCGTCAGACGGGAAGCGAATCGGGTGCAGAGCATGATCCAACGGCAGGAAACGGTGGACGCCATTAGAAGTGATGAGAAAGAACGGCTGAGGATGAACGAGACTCTGATGTCTCTGCTTCTAAAGCTCGACTCCGTCCCTGGATTAGATCCGACGATCAGAGAAGCTCGGAGGAAAGTGAGCCGTCAGATCGTGGGGATGCAGGAAATACTCGACTCGATCTCGGAGACCAAAGTGGAGAATCAGTGGTGGTCTAACTACGATCTCGGAGTTGACGTCGGAAATGGCGGCGCGTGGCCTCTGTACTGGGAAGAAGCGGTGGAGGAAGAGATGTGTAGAGAGAAAGGCGGCGAGGAAATGGAGAGATTCTGTGCTCAGTATTTGGGTTTCAGGTGTTTCCAGAGATTTCTCAGAGAATGACGGCGGTAATCATTCCGGCGTACGATAGAATTATCTTTTCTTTTTGTTCTTAATCCGTCTATGTTCCGTTAAATTACTAACGTCCTTTTGTAAGTCTGTAAACGGAATACGCCGTCTGTAAAACGTAGTATTTCAAACTTTGATCCATATTTATCAAAATTAATACATTTCCACACACAAATTCACCTAAATACTTTTAGGTTGTACTAGTTTTTACTTTTTAGTATTTAGTTTTGTTTTTGGCTATTTTTGGCATTTGTATATAAATTGGCAAGAATTACAAATTATAACAGCATGATTATACTCATGTAAACAAACTCACATAGTAACACTGGTTGATGTGTATATCCCTTAGATATGCGATTATCATGTGAACTATACGTAGAAATACATAAAATAAAAAAAAGATCCAACATTAGTTTACACATTATTATTTCAACATCAAGGAGAGCATTAAGTCGATTTATTACTTAGCTGCACAGCTACACTTACACCTAGAAACGCAGCGTTTACACTCCAGCAGCGAAGGCTTGGCGACGGTGTCGCAGCCACACGTGGTGGTGCATATTCTCTGAGACACACCGCCCCAAAGGCAACGAGCCATGCATCGGAGCACCGGCACGCACTTAGGACAGACGTATTTCATTTGCTCCGCCATGCATGTCTTGCAGCTGTACCTTGACGGCGGATGCCGGCAGACACCACCAGAGCCGGCTGCGGCGGCCGTTGGAATTGAAGTTAGGAGTGTGAAGAGGATTAGAAGGAATATGAGAGAAGAGAAGAGGCTTTCAAACTTGTAGGTGTTCTTCATGTTCAAATTTGGTTATGGTTTGTGATGAGAGGAAATTTGTATCTTTGAGATATGTTATTGGCTTTATTTATAGAGGTTTTGTCATGATATACGAAAATATTTCTGTTGAATTAGGTTATCTAGTCTATTCCACAAGAGTTAAGACGACAACGATGGTGCAGTGTCCAATATGCATTTAACTAGCATTCATTGTTCTTGAATTGTACAATTTCCTTAAATGCTTTGCTCAGTAGTAGTAGTATTTTTTATTTTTATTTTCATTTTCTTATATGTAAACGACGAAGTAATTAATTTGTTTTACAGCCAAGAAAATTCGTTTTATACAGTACGAAACAAAGATCTATATATAATTCGATATATCTACATATATTGTTTTATTGTTTAGAAAATAACATTATCTGAAAAGGGTAACTTAGAAAAACTAACAAAGGATTTTGGCTATAAAGTCAGGGCGAAGAAATATATATATACGAATATATATTAAATTAAAAAAACAATTTGAATTAAAGAGCAAATAATAAGCTGAAAAAAAAATTATACAATAAGAAATAATATTTTTTCTTCCTCTTCTTCCATATTAACTTATGTCAGCCAGTTCTTGCGTATGTCGAAGGTGTAGTTGTTCTCCAAGTAGCACTTATCATCGTCATCGATGAACTGAAAAACAGTTATGTATAAGACAATGTCCAATGTATTTTATCAAACAAAAAAGGACATGTACAATTGATTTAACTACATGCAATAAAAAGGATATTTTCTTGAGTTATATAAACTTGATCATAGAGTTCTTTTCAGTTGTTGTGAACAAATAATAAGGTTCTGCTACAGATCATTGCATGGTGAGAAACAAAAGATGTTACTACGAGAATTTTGGTACCTTGGATTTAACGGAATAAGAGCCTCTAACAAGCATACCAGACGGCGTTGATTCTTCAAACATGACATGGTTGTACGGTTCTGCCTGTGGACTATACGTTCCTAGCATCTCCTTTTTACTATACACTGTTCTCCACAAAGAGTTAAAGAAAATAAGAGTAAAGCTTATAAATTTTGTGTGGTGGAGGAAAATGAATATGTATATAAAGACAAAAAAATTACCCTTAATTCCAGTTTTCCAAATCGTATTGACGTACCGGAGACCCGACACAATGTTGTTGGTCACACGAAAGGTAAATACGAGAGTGTACTTAGAGCCTTCTTTGAGAGTGAACCATGGTCCTTTTGCCGTCGGTTTTCCGTCTTCCGGAACAGTCAATACCATGTCTTCTCTATCCGGTGACCTAATTGTTAAGTTTAGTATCTTAACCACCGGATCCGGAGTCTCTGCATTAATTCATTTTGTTTACTTTATCAAAAGTTCAAACATTACATATATGCATAGCAATTAGTCTTATAAATCTAATAACTCCAAATAGAGACTTTTAACGGTAATGATATTTGTTTCCTTAACATATCTTAAAAGATCACACACAAGGAAATAATTATTTGATATTTCGAACGAACTAATTATAGTTTCTAATCAACATGAATTCTCTACCCGGATTTGGAATTTGGTTTACCTGAGACCTCCTCGAGATCCACACTGCCTAAAAGTTGTTCCTTCCATCGTCTCAAGCTTTCATCATCCTAATAAATTGATAAATCATATATAGAAAAGTGATTAGATAATCCTTACCTATATAACTTATATAGGCAAAGATAAAACAAACAAAGCTAAGATACAATTGTCTTATTGTAATTTGTGCAATCAAAACCTTGTCTTTCTCAAGTTGTTCTTTCAGAGCGATCATGGGACCAAGTTCAAGCTTCCTGTCTTCGTCTTCTTCTTCTTCATCTTCTGTCAGATACAAAGAGTTGTGGCTATTCTTTCTGCTTAACGATTGTCCTTTTGGCTCTTCGGAAGACTCTTCAGCCTTCTTATCTCCATTTCTAAAACCCATTTTTATTTTCTTGATCTCTATTCGTTCTCTGACTTAATTGGGATCCGCAACAAACCTCTATCGTTAGATTTGATGCGATTTAATTTCTTGGAGATGATTATGCAATTTAATGAGGACAAAGAACCCTTCAAAAAAGGGAGTCAGCAAACAAAAAGAAAGAAGAATAAAGAGAGGTTAATTAGAGGGTTTGTTTTTTTTTACCCCGAAACTATGATGAGAAGAAAGTAACAACAAGAAGAATAAGAGAATTAAAAGACAAGGAGAGAAAAATTAGGTGTTTAGTTTGAGAAATGTTTAAATATGGAGTCTGAAGAAAAGGTCATGTGATCCTTAATTAAGAATTTAAGAGTCATAGTCTTCCCGTTCACAGGATTTATTTTCTAAAAATAAATAATTAACTATATTTTACGTAATCCGTGTTTACGTATTCACGTTTTGAGTTGTTCATATATACTCCATCATATTTAAAAAAAACTTATTTATAGGCTGAGTATTTTTAGTTTTGGAGTCCATAATTCCGAAAGAGTATGTGTTTACAAGTCGCAAGTAAAACTAATTGGGCTATATAGTTAGGCCCCCAACTCTAAAGTCCAATGATGGTCTGTAAAATGACCTTCACCACTTAACTTTCGTAATTTTACTATAGGATCACGTAATTTCATAAGTGATTTAGGATCGGATCCAGATTAAGGAAGGACACAGTAACCTTTACAGATGTCCCATAACAGTTCATCATCACCGTCAAGGCAAGTGCCCGCAACTATTTGGCTACAAAAAGATTCTCTTCTTTCGAAACCAGCCCTACAATATGAATTCTCTACCATCAGATTATTTAAATCGACGGCTTAGAATCAAACATATATAATTAACTATGGAGACATATCCTTTAGTTTGTTCGGCTTTAGCGTTACACATGTTCAGGACATGGGACGTTTATCATAATTGGGACACCAAAAGTGAATTATTTACAACTTTTTTCAGATCTACATCATCAGTCACGTCGAAAAAGTATCTAATAATGTAAGTTGCAGGGGAGGAGTAAGGGACATATAGGTGTTTCCGTATTTTTCTTCTTAATATCAACATCTCTAGTTCTTTATGACACTAATGTATAAAGATAGAACCCTTCCTAAGCTGCGTAAAATGATATTTAGATACGATGTGGATCGACTACGGTGCGAAGACCAAATGAACATTTCTCGAACTCTTGAATAGAATGATGGATGCAATGTTGTGTTAAGCTTGGATTGTAAGTTTCTTTATAAACGATCTTCGGTGCTGTCTTATTCCTAAGATGTCTCATGTCTACTTTTTTTTCCTCCATCTGCCTAAAATTTCCAATTTTGTAACAGCATCCCTTATGCATTATCGGTTGTTTAGTTCCTTTTTGGACAAAAATATACAATAAAATGGGACCAATGGAATGGGGTCATCTTAGCCGTCCAACCCTTTTTTACCAGCTTTGCTGCTGGCTAATCTTTACAGATTGTGCGTGCGTGGCATGTTGCTTGTATACACATGTGGAAATGAAAGCTATCCGTCTCAAAAAAAACAAAACTATCTTATTCGGAATTTGCTCGATATATATCTCCACAACTATATAAGTCAATAACCTAAACATTATCGACTGGCTTAGAATTTCTAATAACTTGTATTAGTACGTCTCTAGCGCTATTAACAATAGCTGTGGTATATTGTGGATTTCGTAGTTCAATGATTCTACACCACTTTGTCAACAAAATTTGACAAAGAATGTAAATTAATTATTTATTGATAAAACCCAGTAATAAATTTAGTAGTTAATTTATATTTTAAAATTATAAAATTGAAATTTTATATTTTAATGTTTAACTATTTATTGTAAGGCTTTTAGTTATCCTTAAACAACGTATCTGACATAAAAAGCAAACTGGTGTATGTGGGTCCACGTTCATGAGGAATCCTACCTGGCTCAGTGTCACATGGGCTCGCTTTCACTTGTAGCCACGTCATCATTAGTCAAATATGGTAACTGAAAACCGACCGATTACCACCGATTTAAGAATAGAGCAACGATTATCTTATTTGTACGTCCACACTATATCAGTCTAGTTTTGAAAAGAACAACGATTATTTGGCTGAGCAATAGAATAAAGATGCTTCCGCAGGCATTAATGCATGTTTAACCGATGGAATATCTAAAAGAATTCAACGTTAATTAAGATGAGAAGTTGTAACGCTCAGTTTAATAAGAGTTGAAACTTGAACGTTAATAACGTGAACGGTTTGTTGTAACAAAAAAAAGAGAAGGGTGTGTTGTAACGTTCACTGAGGTCACAGAAAAAAGGAAAACAGAAACTTGTTGAAACCTGGCACATTATTTTATTTAATTTACAGATTTCAAGTTCTTAGTTGAAAATAGATATAAAAATTAATTATGTATTATAAATAAATGACAACTTGACAAGTAATGGTTAAGTGATGAGGTTCTATTTCTATACCTATGTGGCATGAGGTGTAAAATAGCACATCAGTTTATTTTTTTAAATGCAAGGAAACAGATGCTTTCATGTGCAATATTCATCATCATGATTCTTTGATAACATTGTAGACCTTAAAAAAACTAATAATTATTTTTAATATATTTTCGTTAAAGAAAAGCACTATTGTAAATCCTTTGCTTCTAGCCTTCTACTATAAATAGCTCTCCTCTTGATCAAATCTCTTCATTCACCCAAAGCATCACATACACTTTTGCTTCTCTTCCTTCTGTCTTCTACATTTCTCCTTCTTTAGCTCTTTTTCAATTCGAAATGGCCACCGTTGAGGTAATATTAAGTCCTTTAATCTTTATAAATCAGACTTTAAATCTATATCTCTTCTTTGTTGAAGTTATTAATGTCTATAATTATATCTATACATACAAATGATCAGCTTACTTACACATACATCATGTCTCATTAATGTCTATAGACTTCTCGCCGTCTAATCTGCTATAAACGGCATACAGTTTTTCTATACTAAGTGTGTTTACGTTTACAGGTTGAACAAGTGATTCCAGTTGCAGCAGCAGAGAACGTTGAGGTACCAACAAAGCCAGTGGAGGAGCCAGTGGTGGAAACGGAGCTTCCAGAAGAAGTCGTCGTCGCCGCCACAGAGTCTGCTCCTGCTCCGGCCGCAGTAACAGAACCAGAAACCGAAGCACCAGTCGTAGAAACGAGCAAAGAAGTGGTTGTGGAAGAGGCAGAGAACAAAGATGAACAAACAGAGGAGCCAAAGGTAGAAAAGGAAGAAGAGAAGACAGAGGTGACAGAGACTCCGGTGGTTGCGGAGGAGGCGAAGAAAGAAGAGAAGGAGGAGGTGACAGAAACTCCGGCGGTTGTGAAAGAGGAGAAGAAGACTGAGGCAGAGGAAGTTGTGGCTGCAGTGGAAGTCGCCGACGAGAAGGCCGAGGAGTAAAGAGGAAGAAGCTATATATATGACCTTCTTTGGTCTGATTTCGTTTGTTTTTATTTTATCTAAATTTCATAACTATTTTATGTCGTTTGTTGAGGTTGTTATTATGAAATCAGATGTTTGGGTCTTTTAATGGTTACTACATATTGTTTACATGCTTGATAGCTACAAATTACAAACCTTGAAACCGAGAACATGGAGATTAAAAACCTTTTAACCACAAAAACAACGAGAGTATAACCAATTAAATTTAACCTAGACAAATTACAAAGATAAAAAAAGCAGTTGGGATAAATTATCAAGCGGTTTGTTTTAGGTGCGAAACGTCATATTTGCAGACGAATAAGAAAGAACATATCGATATACGCTCGAGGTGGGTTTGTATGTTTGGGCCTACTGTAACCGGTCTGCGAGATCTGTAGGCAACAATGTTACATGAGCCAAAGCCCACCTTGCAATTTTCATAGGGTGTCGTCATAGTTAGGTATGTGATATGTGATAAATTTATGCGTTCTTCAAAATACTTACACAACTGTTGGAATTTGTTATGAATCTGCTCAATCTTTTATTTGCGACGGTTACATCATATACAAAATTGTACATATTTACTAGGTAATGTTAGGAAACATCTGAAAACTATTTAGTAACTTAGTAGACCTTGTAATCCCGATCTTACACCATTAAGTTCACCGTTTCACAAGTCAAAGACTCAAAGTCATGAAAATGTTGCCAATTTCAAAGAAAATGTCAGTTACGTCGCAATTAAAGACTTGTTGCGATGTCCACCAAGTCTTTGTTTTGGATTTTAGCCCATGATACTTAAAGTTCACGATTCGAAAACGAAAGATGGAGATTGCTTCTACTGTTTCTTAATTAATCGATACACATTAGATAATTTTGGAAACCTTTTTTATTTTTTGTTAAGTATAATATAGGAAACTTTGTTATCGAAGTGAGAGTAAGAAGAAAACAAAGAGAGTTCACGGGATCAATATGCATCCACAGATTTATAATTGCTCCTTAGGGACCATATCCAACTCTGAAATGACACGAACTACTCCGTGACAGAAAACTATGATCATGACAAGTTGTTAGTTCCTTCGTTTTATATATTAATTAATTAGTTTGTTCGAGGGTTAAAAGAACCGAGAGAATGATCGCGAAAGCAATCTCTATGCCCTATCATCCTCTGACTACGAAATTAGCACCGTATCTGTTACTAACGTCGGATACGATGAGCTTGAATAATAAAACAATAACAATGATACTTGTTCTTATCACAAAGAATGGATTAATATGAATAGATTAAGATTTTATATTGCTATATATAGGTCGAGAACTTAAGACATTGAGTGTGACAGTATCTATGGCCATGGCATAAAACATTCCTCTCATCGATCGATTATGACATTCACTATATATGTTTTATGTTTTTTTTTTCATCTAATGAAGGCCTACATGAAATTGGAACCTCAAATGTCGCTTTTACAACCTCAAATAATCTTAAACCTTTTCTTTTTAATATTTGTTTTTGTCGATGAGAGTTAGTACTATATTATAATCTGTTGTATATATACACCTTTTTGTTCTCCATTTCCTTCCTTCTTTAGTCCCATGTAACGACCAAATGAGATCTTAAACTTACTGTTCGTTATCTCCTTCGCTAGATTCTTCATTCACGGGAAAGAATCGTAAGTGTGTACAGTGTACTGTTCGATCACTTAGATCTTATATATGATCATCATATATATAGAGACAATCTTGAATAGGTTCATAATTAAAGTCATCCCTTTAATTAGCTTCAAAATACTGGACAGAAAATATTGGAGATGTGTAATGTAGTCCTTGGCGTACATTAGAACTTGTCATTTTATTCAGTTTGTAACCTTATTTTCATCAGACAAATCGATCACTGTTCTACATATTTCCAAGATTTATCAAATACTCGTAAACAACAGACATACATTAAAATTCTCATCTGTTTTATCATCATTTGAATGCATGGTAAAAATCATTCCACCAACGATAATCTTAAAAGAAATTGCGTAAAAATTGCGAATGCTGGTGACACATTTTTTAAACCATTTATCACCTTGTTTTCCGAAATCTGAATTTTATGTCAAAATTCCTAATAACAAGATGGGATTTGCTGAATTATTTTTCTTTTGAATTGTGCAACTAATTCAGTAATTAACCTATCGACGCCAGAAAAGTTATGAATTTTAGTCATACACAGTAGATTTTCTCCGCTCTACACACGTCAAAATGCTTTTGTTTGTAATATGTATTGGTAATATATATACAGTCAAATGTGTTCTACTTGAAAATAACGTATCCAATAATGCACTTAATGCCTTTGCATGAAGACAAGGATAATAAGGACGCAACATTTTAAAGACTGATCGAGATGTCAGGTCCGACCACAGTTTGAGACCGAGTGTCTTCTAAGACTTTTCTCTGTACCCGTGGCACAAAATACCTCGCCATTTTTTTGTTTGTGTGAATTTAAGTTTCAAGTATATTTAATTGATTTATTATCAGTTGCAAAGTTTTGTGGGATTTTCAACCAAAGTGATAACCTTAATTTTTCTATTCATTTATCATTGATACTCTTTTCTGTTTTTTAAATTTAAATTTTTTAATGTTTAGGTCTATTATTCCACGATGTAGCGTGATTTTTTTTAATAGAAAAGTCATATGTTAAAAAACTTTTTGATGAGGAAAATAAAAACTTTTTGATAGTTTTCTTGTAATTACCTTTATGTATATATTTTCTCTAAAGCGATCGATGCACTAAGAATAAAAGTTATTATACTGAGGTTTAGATCAAAGGATCCGACAACCGATAATATCTACTTTTTTTTTTTAGCGAACTCATTATCTCATTACATGTATAATTGTATATTCTTCTCTTTTATGTGTGGTTTTTCAGATTTTTTTCCGTGATTTACCATTTTTTATCTGGCATTCCAATCCCAAAATAGGATTCGACAATAGATGATTAATTCCCTCTTTTTGGTGTAACATGGAAGATTAAAAAAAAAAGGATTGCACAAAAAAAACAAACAAATGCTTTATTAATTCATAATACAAACCAATATAGAAATACCCCAATATAAGAGTAATATGAAATAATGAGAACTTCAAGAATCATACGGATCACAGAGACAGAGACATAATTAGACTCCAGTGAACACCATAACAAGAAGACTAGAACAAGAACCCACAAATATAAAATGATACAATAGTAAAAGTATATAGAATCACCTTGTCTCCCCCAAACAAGAAGATAAATATACACATAAGTGTGTTCAAATCATATATAAATGTGCTTTATTAGCACTGGAAGCCAGGAGGAACTTGTTTGCTGCAATAATTGAGGAGAAGACTTAGAGAGATTGGAAGGTTCAAGTTGATTCCAAGAACGTTAGCCTTAAGGGCGGTGCAGAGACAAGCGGCTGCTTCAACGTCAGCGAGTCCTTGAATGAGGCTGCAGCATGGCTCAACCGGTGGTTTGCCAAGGGTCAAGTCGAGGAGGCCGTTGAGCACGTTGGCGCAGACACCGAGCTTGAGAGTGTCTTTAGGGCACTTTCCCTTGCCAGAGCTAGGGCTTGGGGTTGGCTTAGGAGTTGGCTTTGGCTTGGGAGAGGGGCAACCTCCACCGCATGGAGTGCAGCTACCGCAGGCAGAGATTGTAGTGAAGAAGAGGAGATTGAGAGCCAAGAAAAGGGCTACGGAGCTTGTGGTTTTTGAAGCCATTTTTTGTTTAACAGATACTGTTTACTAGCTATGTTGTGAGTGAATTGGGTGTGGAGAAAATGAAGGGGGTTGAGATAGTATTTATAGCGGTTTCAAGGAAAGCCCAAGACCGTCAATGAGTATTATGAGAATTGTTTATAATAAAATTAACAATGATTGATACAATATCATATTTTATTTATTGAAGTTTTATTTTTCAAAATGATTAAATCGTAAGAGAAGTTACATAATGTCCTATTTGACCTTTTAAGTGTGTAAATACGAAGGATTTTTCAACGTAAGAGAAGTTACATAATGTCCATGTATTTGCAAACATATGTCGGATGATTGGCGTTCTGTTTTTGGCATATGTTTAGAAGTCAATATATATATATATATATATATATATATATGTTTAACAAAGATCTATTTTTCATAATTTATTTTATAAATACATTGCGTCGTGATGTTTTTGTATGATCAAAATGGTAGAAATAGATGTCACCATATGTCATGTATTTACCATAGAATTTCTGGTATTTTCAGTTTTCACATGTATATTCTAGATACAATTATTTATGTCAGAGTTATGATGGGTAAGAACTAAGAAGACACAATTTATCTTGCAGTTTTTTGTTTTTTTTTTTTCAGAAAAAATTCGAAAATATGCACATCATAAATAATTAAATAAATTGATCACTAAACCCTCAATTTCACAAAAATCCATATTCCCAATTCACAAAAAAAAATCATTTAGCACTAAAATATCCATATAATGGAAACTCTAACAGTATGCATATCAGTATATGTAAATATTTTATTGTATGGTTTCCATAGAAACCATGTGATAGTGACAATGCTGGTTCTCCTGTGCCCTTCACGAACAAATGTAACAAGATAAGATCGATCATGACTTCATTGAGTGTACAACGAGGCGCCTTACTACACACTGCCAAAAACATTTTCATCTACATTCGTCTAGCTGTCGTTGAACGAATCACAATTTATGTATAGTAAGATTATGTATATATATATATTAGATGCTAAGCGTATAACTACAAAAAAAAAGGTGAAACAGATGCATTCTTTATTTTTCCAAAACATAATCAATTTAGAGAAGCTGTTTTCAGGAGGTGATGAATTTCATACTGTGGATTTCCTCTCTTATTTCAAAATTAATAATTGGTAGTTTGAGTCCTTAAGCATAAATTTGTCATCGCTACATCGTCGTCGTTCGCATATATGAGTTGCAATTTTTTTGTTGTCCCGACAAAATTAAAAATTACAATTAGAAACTGTACTTTAAGAAAAATCGCAACTTGGTCTTGCCCCCACATATGTTAATTATTGTACATAAGAAAACAAAGTATTTCTTATTATTAGTATTTTAAAAAAAAAAATTGTTATTATTGTTCACTTCACGGGAATGCATAAGAATTCTAAATCGCCCATTGGTTCGTCCAGTGATCCATATTACAACAACAAAAAATAGATACTAAAGTATGTTTATTCTGGTAATGGATCCGTAAAATAGTCTTACAAGAATTATCAACTTGGTAATTTTAATATATAATGGCATCTCTACACTAACTCTCTCCACGCATGCGAGTCTTGTGGCTCACTTTGGAGTGTACAGTCCTCACACTTGCGCCTATAAAAGTCTTAACTGTCGGTCCACTTAATCCTAAAGCTAATCACATATCCTTGGCTCTAATCAAATTAAATTGATTAGGGTTTAGCAATTTAGAGATCAATGGAATTCCACAGATCTATTCCCGCAGCACTCTTCCTAACTCTTAATCTCATGTTTGTTGCTTATGTAAGTGGCTGCAACACTTGTTTGCCACCTAAGCCTATCCCTAACCCTAACCCTATCAGCAATCCTACAAAGCATAGCTGCCCAAGAGACGCCCTACAACTCGGAGTTTGCGCCAAAATACTAGATGGGGCAGTCGGAACTGTCATCGGAAACCCACCAGACAGGCCTTGCTGCTCTGTTCTTCAAGGGCTGGTCGATCTTGAAGCTGCCGTTTGTCTTTGTACCGCCATTAAAGCTAACATTTTAGGGATTAACATTGATATTCCCATCTCCTTGAGTTTGCTCATCAATACTTGCGGCAAAAATCTTCCCTCTGATTTCATTTGCGCTTGATGAGTATAAGGATGGATAGATCGTGTAGTTTGATTTGTTTGTGTTTTTTCTTTGCAGCTTCTGTTAGTTTGGTTGCTCCTCGATCGTCTAATTCAGTCCGCAACCGCAAATATTCTTGTTTTAGTCATGTCTAAATTTTTTCTACCTTGGTTGATGTACGATTTATCTGTTTCATACGACTAGTTATGTGTTAAGGTCATGCAACTCGGTTTGCAGATAGTTTGGATTTACGACTTAAAAGTTAAAACCATTTCTAAATTGACAATATAGTAATGATACCATATATAGCACAGGCAGTTACGTTGGAATTTCTTCGTCTATCTTTACAACCATTTGCACTTAAATTTTCAGAATTAGTTTGAATTTCAGCATATATATTATATACCATCATATACACTTTTTACTTTAACAATCAAAATATATAATGGAGCTAAAAAATAATTGCAATTTCGTATAAAAATAGGAAATGGGAACCCGTGACACGACCCATCTGCGTATGCCACCACTAAAGAAGTAAAATATATTATAAGTAAATTGTACGTATGTGCATGGCTTTACCCCTTGTTCCATTATAATATTCTACGATAAATCATGAAATAAGTTGAATACTAAAAATCTAAAACGATAATGATAATGCAAGTTGCAAATTCATATAAATCCAAGATCTACAGATCCACTACAAGATAAGCGGTATTTAGCGACACTTTATTAATGTCATTTGTTAAACCGACACTATAAATGTTTTGAAAGAAGGAAATTAACATTACTTTCTTAACCGTCGCAAAAGAAATGATGCGAAAGCCCAATTTCTTAGAAATGATGGGAAAGCCCAATTCAATTGTAAAATGATATTTAGAGTGATTTTTTTTTTAAAACAAAAACATAACGCCTAATTCAATTTCTTCGTCGTCATCTCCTTGCGATTTCTTCGTCTTCATCTATCTGAAGAAATTGAGAAATTGAGCTGAAATTGAGCTCATAGATTCGCAGACTTCCATAAATTTCGTCTTATCTTCTTCATTTCTGAGTCCAATTTGAAGACAACTTTACAGCGATCCATAAGCCTCCATCGAAGGTTCGTACTTGGTTTGATTCAGTTTTGATTCATTATCGATAGTTTGTACAAATTTTTGATTCTAAAAACCTGCATTTCTCGGCATCTAGTGGTTTATACAAAAGCGTGTGAAGGGAATCGCTCATCGCTACCACCGTCACCTCCAAAAGCTGAAATTTCCAACTCCGTGCACCTTTCACCAGGTAAAAAATCGCTCACTAGCTTGATTTTGATTTGTATATGCAAAGTTTGCTTGTGATTGAGCTATTCATTGTTCATTGTTAATAGTTACGTTTTCTATTTGTTCATTAGCTAGAAACTTTGATTCATGTGGTTTTGCTTAAGCTTGGCTTTTTTCTTCTTAACTTTGATTCATGTGCTTTTGCTTTTGCTTGTGGTTGAATGATATAAAACATACATTTGATTCATACATTTTCAGTCATGCCTCCTTGTGGTTGAATGATATAGTTTTCTGCTTAAACATACATTTGCTTTGCTTTGTTCTTAAATGAATGTTATTCAGTCCTAAGTTTGCTTGGTTAATTAAATGGGAGTTTTAGGTGGATCTAGTATTGCATTAGTGAGACAATTCGAGAATCTTGACAATTCTTATGCTCTGATTCTGTGTTTGTGTTTGAGAATGATTCTCGCTTTCTGTGTTTGAGAATGTTTGGGAATGTTTTGCGCTGATTCTGTGTTTGAGAATGATTCTGATAAATCTTCATTTCAATTTTTACAGGTTTAAAGATGTCGAGAACAGATTCCGGAATGCCACAGAATGAAGATTTCTTTGCTCCGCCTCCTCTTGGACCAGAATTAGCTGGTGGGAAATGGAAAGTTCATGTTATAGGTAAAATTAGTTTCCTGACTCGCTTTCAAACCAGTTTCATTGAACAAAAGAGTTTACGTTTATGAGGTTTGTTCATTGTTGATGATGAGGTTTTAGATGATGATGGAAAGATTATAGAAGAAAATATTACTGGAAAGCAAGTCTGGGGTATACAGAAACGTCGAGTTATTGTCGAGTTTAACAGGAATGGACAGCCTATCAAAGATTCAGGAGGTTTGTTAGGTTCATGGTTAGGTTCTTTGAGCTATGATCTTAACATTTTACCTATCAATTACACTGATTGGAGGAAAGTACCTGAATATAGGAAGGAGATGGCATGGACAGTAATTCAGGTATTTTAGTTTAGGTTCATGGTTAGATTTGTGAAGTACTCTTGTCCTTTCTAAATAACATTTTTCTATTTGAACACAGAAAAAGTTCTTGTTTGATGACCCAACTAATAGAAGAAAATATGTAATATCTACATTAGGAAGCAGATGCAAAGACTTAAAACAACGGTTTTGGAAGCTCCATAAGAGAAATACTCCAGTAGAAACAATTGAAGCACGACCAGCATTGATTCCTGAAGACCAATGGAGAGATTTTGTGCATACTCAATTCACAGATAAGGCCAAGGTAAATAATTGTCCAAAACACTTGTTAGATATACTGATAATGTTAGTGAGGTTTCTTATTTATATGTTACATTACGATAACAATAGAAAGCAAGAGAGCGTAATAAGGTAAGCCGAAGCAACTTAAAGATACCACATACACTTGGAAAAAAGAGTATAGCAAGAAGATCTGATGAGATGGTAAGTTTCAATCTTAAGATTAAGATTAAGATTTAGTTAGTAATTTGGAATGTGGTGTTGTTAGTCATGGCTTTTGCATATGTTGCAGGAAAGAGAGAGTGGCGTTGAACCAACTCGAGGAGAAATGTTTATTGCATCACGCACAAGATCAGATGGAAGTATGATTTGCGAGGAAGCAAGACTATGTGCGGTTAGTTTACTATTGGCTTTGATCTGTCTATTGGCTTTGCTCTGTCTCTGATACTTCACTATGGTTACATTGTATGATTGATTTTTACAGGACCAGATTAAGGACATTATGAATCTTCCAGGCCAAACATCAAGTAGTGATGCTGTTACTCAAGTTTTTGGTCCTGAGCATTCAGGAAGAGTGCGATGTGTAGGTCGTGGTCCGGCGCCAACCAAATACTTCTCAAGTTTGGACTCTACAATGTCATATAATGTGGAGATAGTTGAGATGAAGTCAACAATAAAGAATCTCGCAGATAAAGTTGAGATTATTGCTAGTGCTCTTCATAAAGCTTTGACATGCAACCGATTCCAGGTAATGCAAGCAATTCTGGATTCTAATGGTTAGTTTTAGGCTGTTGTTAGTCTTGACTTGATGGTTAGTCTTGAGTTTTAGGCTGTTGTTACATCAGAACATAGCTCAATATGAGTTTCATATCAGAGTTTACTTTTTTACAGGTGAATGATACAAGTGAAACAGATGAAAACATCCGTCACATTCGTAAACAAGCAACAAATAAGGTAATTCACAATGCTTTGAGTGTCACAATACTTAATTAAGAAAGCTTCTTCATAATGAAAATATGTTTGCTTTTAAAAACAGAGGAAACACCAAGATTTATCTCCAGTTGTTCAGACCACACCAAGAGCTAAGGTATGGTTTTTCTTTCCTTGTGATATATCAAAAGTATATTAATTTTGTAAATTGATTGTATATTTGGAATTTGGCATCTGATCAGGTGAAAGAGAAAGAGCAGGTGAAAGAGAAAGAGTACACGAAGAGAAATTGTGAAAACAGTATATATAATAGTGACATTTGTATTTTTCATATAATGTGTTGAGTGATATTTGTATTGGTATTGATTTTTTTGGTTAATATTGAATATTTTTCTTGGATCAATTGAATTGATTTTTGGTTAATATTGGATATCCGTCGGTTTAGTTGTGTAAACCGACGTGAAAATTGGTCTGGGATCACATGATAACCGATGCAAAATTGTATTAAACCGACGTTACAATTGGTTTGGGATCACATGATAACATGATGTTAAAATTGATTTGGGATCACATGATAACCGACGCAAAACTGATTTTTTAACGTCACACGAAGTAACGACAGTTTTCAAACCGATGTCAATTTTTTCATGTCATTTTACAACCGACGTGAAACGCAATAAAAACCGTCGCCAAATCCCGCTTCTCTTGTAGTGAGACTAGCTACAAAGTTCTAAGCCTTTCATTTTTTCCTTTTCCGAAATGTGAAGGATCATATCACTACCTTCTAATGGAATTGGAATACTAGCTATATATATAGCCACGTTATGAACCCAAAAAAATATGTAACTAATGGAATTTGAAATTGAAAATGTAAATTGTATATTGTTGTATAATCATAAATTAAGGGGGTTATAGCCCGTATATGCACAGAGTAGAGGACATCATTTCACAATAATCATTTTTTGACTTACCTTAAATAAATATAACTCTTCTACGGATTTCAGAAACTACTTTAGGTTTGATTCAGATGGTCATCAATACTACATTTTTTTCTCTTAAATTAGTGTATCACAAGTTGTTTGATATTCATTTTGTCTATGGATAATGAATCTCTTTTTTCTCTTAAACATCACTTATTATTTTCATTTTTTTTTTCTACTAAAATCCTTTTATGTTTGAATGTTATATATATTTGGCCCATCGATAAATTTTGGGCCCATTATCAATTGCTGTAACAACTAGTTTGATGTGGCCCATTAATAAGATTACTAAAACAATTTAAAAAGGTTGTGAGGAACTGCAAATCAATTCTGAGATGTGAAAACTCGATCGAGATTTTACGTAGCACTAAAGACTATCCTAAATATGAATACTAACGTTAATTTTATAAGATAATATTTGTATATATCGTATCGAGTTCACCTTCATTGACGACATTTATTTTCTTGAGCGTCATTGTAAAGTGGAAAATCTAATATTTCAACGGCATGGAAATATATATGTAACTAGCTACAGATACTTTTAATTAATGTTATAACGTTGAAATGTCTATGTAATGTGAGCTTCAAGCTAGTGT